AGAAGAGGTGTGGTGGTGATGCCTGCAAGGTTTTGCCTTTGAGTTTTACCCCCAAAAAATCATACCATGGTGGAGTGGGTATCTAGTTACAAATGAGATTGATATTTTTTAGTCAAATTAATAATAATATATATAGTAAGGGTAAATTGCGCGCACAAAAAAAATAAATAAATAAAACTCTCTCTCAATATTCAATATAGTGCATAGTACCCCCCTCGAGCTTATATATACCCATATAAAATTTGAATAAAAATAAAAAAAATAATTTTTTTACTAATTTTTTATGGAATTATTAATTTTTTATATTAAAATTGTGTATTCCACGCAAGAGTTTTTGAATTAAATTTAAATTAGATTGATTATTGTTTGAACTCATAGTGCAATATTATTAAGTAACAAAAACTTACAGGAACATATAAAAAAAAAAAATAGACTATATATAAATTCATGAATAAATTTATAATTACAAAAATTTGCTTCAATTTAGTAAGTCTATAAATGAAAGAAATAGTGATTCAAAATTTAGATGGAAAAAATCTCAAAAATAGGATCTATTGATACTAAAGAAAATTATTAGGATTTATTTGTCATTGAGAAAAGTAGAATTTGATGGTAATTTTGTAAGAAAATAAAATTAAATGGTGTATTCATGTAAAAGGACATAACCAAAACATGTCGTCGTCTTGATTAGCATTTATAAACTTCCCCATCTACCCCTCCCACCACGTTCGACTCGTCTCTGTCTGTCAATCTCATTACCAACTCGTCACACATCGATTTCTAGGGTTTCGATCGAAGAAAAACAGGTTATTTGAGCCTTTCCAAGAGAGATTGTGATGAATTAGCAAGTATAGAAGTGTCTAATTAAAAAACCCATGTAAATTAGAATCAATGCACTTCCAATTTGATACTGAAATCTTCTCGCCGGTGTTGCCAATGTCATCACCGGTCATCCTTCTGATACCGTCAAGGTCTGATCCTTCTCTCCCATTTTTGTTCTCTGTTTAGACACATTAATTTTCTTATTCGTTATTTATTTTTATATATGATTCACTTATATATATGTGTGTATATACACATAGTCTAGATTCAAATTGGGAATGTTGACCCTGATCTACAAATACAGGTGACAAAGGATATTTTTCTATATCTAGTGTACAACATGTATACAAACCTCATTGATATAAAATTTAAAGTTATATATATATAATAATAAAAAATTGATACTGGCAAGTTATATATATATATATATATATATATCACGGTTAAGCAGCTGAGGGGTTCAAACTATTGATGATGGTAGCTTGATTTTGAGACCTAGAGTAGACTGGGAAATGAAGGTGGGAAGTGACTTGTTTTTGTTAGAATGTGTCTTCGAAGTTTCATTGACAAGAGAATAGGAGGGAGGCAAGGAAATTGAGAGAAGTGACATTGTGGGACGGGGCAAAAGCGATTTCCCAGCATCTCAATTCATAAACTCAGAGACAAATATAAATAAAGAGATGAGAGTAGAGAAATAAAATATAGATGGTAGGGAGAAGCCAGAGAATTAGAGGGGAGAATTAACGAGAATGAGAGATGAAACTTTCTTCAATGCTAATTATTGATTGATCATCAAAAATTGTTTCTCGTTTTCCCTTGAGAAGCCAATTTAGAGTCATTACAAGATCCTGATAATCCTTAGTGAATTAGTAATTTAGAGAAATAGCCGTATCTAACATAATAACAATACAAGAGACTTCTATGCCTTTGCAAGAGAAAGAGTGGAGAGAGCGAGCTACCAAATTTAGCACAGAGAGCTGAAGAGAGCATGCAGTTTTAGAGAGAGTGAAGAGAGAAAAAGGAGGGAGATCAGTTTTAGGGGAAGAGAGAGTGAAGAGAGAAAGAGAGAGAGAGACCATGCCTAAAGGGTAATTTGGGAATTTTTGGCATATCACACGAGGCGCACATGTGCTTTTTAATGGTCATATTCTAACGGTCCATTGACGGAAGTGTGTATTATGCTAACAATTTTTCAAACTACAAGGTGTTATATACCCATTTGTAACCAGAGGGGGTTTACAGTTTATATGCACTATATTGAATATTGAGGGGTGATTTTTGCACTAAACAGTGTCAAAACCAATCAAATCCAAAGGAAATTGCTTCTTGTAAAGACTGAATAATACCAAAAACAGTATAACAACCAAGATATATGTTTACGCACACATTTGTTTATATAATATGGCTGGCTATTTATTTGCTCTTATTATCAAAGAAGAGGTAATGGGTGATGTGCCATGTTGGTTAATATATAGACCTTGTGTACAGATTCTTGGAAATAGATATCTAAGTCACATGTAATATATTCTGGGAAGAAAAGTGCAGGGGAGGTAGACATTTTGAAAACTATTTATTCCACCTATAAGTTATAGCAAAAGGCTAGACAGAATATATGGGTATTTATATGTTATAAAACTATGTATCTATCCGAGTACATACATTTTTCATATTGAATACTGTTGAAGGATTTAAATATTTAAGTTACACCCTCTCTAACAGCTTAAACTTTTGGAGGAGATGATTATTAACATGGTATCAGAGCCAAAAATCTAGAGTTTAAACCTCACCGTCACCACCCTGATAATTAAAATTGAAACACATGTTGGACCAAAAGAAGGCTACACGTGAGGGGGCGTGTTGAAATATTTAAATATTTAAGTTCCACCATCTTTAACAGCTTAAGCTTTTGGAGGAGATGGTTGTTAACAAATACAATATTTTGATGAGTAATTTTTTTTTTTTCCTCGGCAAGAAACCCACACACCCATATTACCCTTATGGAGATTTGAACTATTGACTTTCTACTTTGGAAGATGAAGAATACCATTGAGCAATCGCCTTTGGTGGTTTGATGAAAACTTTTGACTCATACATAAATAAACTAAATACATGAATTCCCTATATGTATTATGTGTGTAGGATAATTTAATAACATGCAAAAAACTAGAATCACGCTTCAAAATAATTCTTAATAATATCCCAACATTTCCCTTGAAGTTGATTTTGTAACTATTATTAGTAAATTCCTTCACTTTCAAAGCACTTTAATCGTGAGGAGCTTGGTGAAAATGTCTCTCAATCCGTCTCAAGTTCAATTGCTTCAGTAATTTTAATTTCCTTGGCTATTTCCATTATTTGTATAGATTTATGAAAGCTCTTCACATGTTTTCATAATGTCATCATTTGATAATTTAAAGTTTTCTTCTTCACATGAGCATATCACTGTCTTCTTTCTCGAAATTTTCATGCTTCTTGAGCTCAACTTGTACTGCTTTAAAATAAAAAATTGTTTCCATTTCACCCAACTTGTGTCTACTTACAAAATTTTCCAAACCCATTTACAAATAACAAATTGAAAAATCTTAACGACCTTAATCTTCACTTTCACACTTCCTTGAAATAACTTCCTTCAAAATAATTCTCCACATCAACATGGTTACTTATGTCAGTCTTCGATTTTTTCCTTCAACTTTGGCGAGTGTGTAAAAATCATACTCGAATAGAATAAAATAAGCTATTTAATCCATACCTTATAGTTTGGTTCCATTATGAAGTTTAATAGTTAGCCGTCAGTTCCAAAAATTAGCCATTAGAATCAGCTCCCTTCATGGTTTATTGGCTAAAAAGAACCAATTGATTGTTTTTTAAAGTTCTTTTAATTTTATTTGTCTGGTTTTCTCTTCATCCCCATTAAATTGTCCTCGAGTCTTTCATAATCTTTGTTTCTAAAATCATATTCTTCCTCAAAAGTTAGTCATTCACCTCTACGATTAGATGCAATAGTCTCAATCGTTTTACAAATGTGACTTTGAAGATTTGTACTCTCCAAATGCTTACAATCTTCTTTACGTATTGCCTTTCTTGAAATTGTAAACGCTTTTTGCTCCTTCTTTTCACATATTCTTCTGAACAAGCCATTCTTTGATTTTTCTCCAAATTTCAAAAATCACATACTTTAAGATGTAGTACTTGTACGAATGGATCTTTTCTCCTCTGACGTGCCAACCCTTTTAAGATTATCAGGGCTTTAACATGTTGAGGCCTTCTAGATCACTTAAGGCTCAGACAAATTATTCATCCTTAATTTTATTGTTAGCACTCTTTTTTGTTGGGTTATGGGGAATAATTGTAAATCTATAGAGTTTATTGTTGATTTTTTGGTTTCTTTGGGTCCTTAGGGTCCCTTTTGGCCTTGTGTAGCTTTTGGGATGCATTTCCCCTTGAACGCCTTCTAATACATATTTACTTATCAAAAATAATAATAATAATAATAATAATAATAATAATGAAAGAAGAAGAAGAAGAAGAAGTGGAGAGGGAGATATAGACACTGAAAAATTTTCATTCCATTTTAGAGCAAATGACTACAGATACAGTACATGGTTTTTTTGTAGTACTTCAGAAAATATGTATCTATAATACTACGTACATTCCTTATCTTCGATACCATATCTTCCCTCTACAACTTTGGTATTTGTAAATAAATAAACCCATACATGAATTCCCTACATGTATAATGTATTTGGAATAATCAAGCAACATAAAAGGAACTAGAAGCTTAAAAAATAATTATTAAAATCAAGTTTACTCCAACACATATTTTCTGTTTATATAGCAGTGCTCAAATATGAAGTGAAACCAGATAAACTTCAGAAAGCAACAAAATGATACCACCAGACCTTTAAGCCTGTTATCCAGGAACTTGTTCAGAAATACTGTAATCAAGAACATATGTAGGAGTGAGTTTGTCGCTAGGATCATCCAGTTCCTATAGAACCTATCACTAAAATACGGTCTAAATAGATTGAAATAATTTTTGCCAAAACAAGCTACAACAGAAGCCTTGCAGTGTTTGCTGATCATCAATATGGCTTAGTTGGGCTTATTTATACACTGGAATTGCTATCAGGAAGCCATTTTGCAGGTCTGTTGGAACTAATTAGTTTTGATTCGTGCAGCTTGTGTGTTAAATCTCACTTCTTTCCCATTCGAACCAACTGGTCGATGCATTGGCACCCAAAACAAGGTCCAAATTTGGGACAGCTTTAAGACCTCCCTTTGCTGCCAAAATGCCCTCACAGTGTTGTCAAAGGCATTGGCACAGCATGCCAGGGATGGGGAAGGGAACATCTTCCTCGATGACGCTCATTGGAAAAACTGTAGTGGCCCCTTTTTGCGACAATCTGTTTCTGTGCAGTCCTGTAGATTAAGTGATCTCGTCCAAGGGAGTAGTCGATGCTCTGGCCTTTCATTGTCAATAATTAGGCAGGAGCAAACCTATCAAGATGCCTTAAAGAAGTGTTCTCAATTCAACTCTTCATTTGACGATTCTTGTCAAACTTGCACCGCTGCAATAACAACAGCAAGAGATAATCTGTTGGATTTGTTCAAGGCAAAGGGAAAGGACAGTGAGAAAAAGCTATGTGGTGTTGCAACTGTTACCTCTATTGCAGCTGAGTTAATGGATGATCACTCCTCAGTGGAAGATTTCTATAGTTGTTTGTATGCCTTAGATGTGTTAGGTAAGAGCCGCTTCATATTAAAATTTGAAATGAATTTTGACATTTTAATTATTCCAACTCTTGATGTCACCAGCCAAAATATTGTCAAACAAAAAGTTTTAACTGGCAAACATGGAATGAATCCTTTAGCTTTGTCCCTCCTCTGTTAAGAACAATACTTTTAGAGAAAATTTTTAAATTGGTTCTTGGACAATTTTTCGGGAACTGTCAACCAAAACTTTTGTGACCGTTTTATATTTTTTCTGTTCTTTGACAACATAAAACTGTTCTTGAAAAACTGAACTGAGCAGGCTCATATCTATAGGCCCATGTGACCATTGGTTCACCACCTCAGGGAAACAATTCTTCTAAAAGTATCTTTGTTGAGTCATGAAGTTAAGCCTTAATTTTTATACTATTTCTGTTCCTAATTTTGACTTGAGCAATTTGTTTCTTCACAGACCCAGGTTATATCAGAATGAAATGTAAGTCCCGACTCATTTCAATCTAGCTCCTTCAACATGATATATGCTTTGGTGCTAACTTGCATGCGTACTATACTTGTGATTACTCAAATTAGTTATCATTCATCTTATCAGATTCTTTGGTGAAAGCAATATTGGCTATTCTTATAGCAACCATCGGAATAATGCTGGTTGTTATGCTGATAAAATATGCAACCAAGAATAAACCAGATCCAAAACATGTTCAAACCAAAGAGATTGCAACATGGTCTGGCCTCTATAGATTCTCCAGGGCTGAGATTGACAATGCCATTGGTCCCGAAAGGGAGTTTCTGGGACGAGGAAGTGCAGGCCATGTTTATAAAGGTACTCTACCCAGTGGACAACATGTGGCCATTAAGCAGATAAATAAGAACACCACATCCGATTCTTTCACTCGCGAAGTTGAAGGTCTTTCAAAGGTCCGACATCCAAACCTAGTTTGCCTCTTTGGTTGCTGCACAGAAGGCGGCGAGCAGTATTTAGTCTATGAATATTGTTCAGAAGGAAATCTAGCTCAACATCTCCTAAGTAAGTCAAGATCATCTGATTTCAATTATGTTAGGTATTCTCTTTTAGAATTTTGGAATTACTTTTGTTCCTTTATTTTGATGGAAATTAATTTGCGTGACTTTTGTTTCTGAAAGCAATAATAGAAATATAAAAAGCCATTATCCAGTGCTGGTCACACTTGCACAGGACAATAGGAGTGAAGAATAAAATAGGATGCATCCTAATTGGTTGTACCAGCAGTTACAGCATGGTGTTTTGCATCCATTGAGCAAAAGACGGGCTGTAATGGTGTCTGATTTATAGAACTTATTTAGCGTTGTAAAAATAACTATTCTTGCGCCGAATATCAGTTGATTTTCCCCCTTTTTTTTCTTAATTGGTATTGTGTACTAACTACTGACTTGTGTATCTATGCTCAGAGAAAGATAACGTCTTACCATGGCAAAAAAGAGTTCAGATCGTAAGGGACTGTGCACTGGCATTGAGATATCTCCACCATCATATTGATGGCTGCATTGTTCACAGAGATATCAAGGTAATGAACATGATATATATCCTTTCTAGCCTACTTTAATATCACTTCTCATATTTGTTTTGGAGTCACAACGAAAGCATAAAAAGTAACATATTTATATGTGTGACTGTTGAAAGCTGAAGTATTAAGCAAAGAGGAATTTGGAGATGTAATGCCAAGGCCTTATATACAAGCTCATTTGTGAAAAGGGCTTGCCTACTTATCAGAACAATTGTATTCCTATACTTTTTTTTTTTTTTGGTGTATTCCTATACTTAATTGCCATTTAATATAATTTTCCCCCAAAATCACTTTTGGAATTCCTATACAACTTCATGTGTTCTCAATCAATTGTATTTTGACATCAAAGCATGTACAACATTCTAGAAAAAAAATAAAAAAATAAAAAAAAAATAAAAAAAATAAAAATTCTAAATTACACTGCTAATAATATGAGAATATGCCATTATTTTTCGTAGGTATTTGAAAATAGTTCACTTATGACATTTTATTTAGATAAAATCTCTTTTTGAGCTAGCATGGGCTTGTTTGAGGATTTGAAAGAATTTTATGGTTCTGGTAAAAGCCTCTAACATGGCTGCATATGTTTACTTTCTTAGCTTACAAACATCCTTTTGACTGGGGATTTGCAACCCAAGCTCTCTGATTTTGGGTTGGCAAAGATGCTGGGAATGGAGGAGAGCAAAGTATTTACAGACGTTAGAGGCACCATAGGCTATATGGACCCTGAATACATGAGCAATGCTAAGCTGACCTGTGCTAGTGATATCTACAGCTTTGGTATTGTTGCTCTGCAACTTTTATCAGGACAGAAAGTAATTGAGCTTGATCTTGATGCCAGAGACCAACTCACAAGAAAGGTACTACTATTTTCTCATACACACATTCACATATACGTGTCATAGAGAGAGAGTAATCAGATTTTAAGACCGGTGCGTGTGCAGGCAAAGGATGTCAGTATTGGTAAACGTCCGCTAACAGATTTCATAGACTCCCGGCTGAATGGTGTTAACTATGTGGACTTTGAATCCATATTGCAAGTTGCGGTGCTGTGTGTTGCTGGTTCAAGCAATGGTCGACCAACGATAGATGTGGTATTCGAGGAGATGGAGAAGGCCTGGAAGAACACAATTGCTGACATGGTTGTGCTTGCTTTATCAGTTTTGTAGCCACAAGTGCACCATACGATGCTAACAGACTCGTATGTTTTTTTGGTGGTTTGATTGCAGAAAGGAAGGAGGGAGATGAGCTCATCTGCAACATCACAATCCAGGTTAGCAGAAGTGATGCCAGTGTGACATGTCCTCCATCAAATCCCAGGGCTCAACCCTGGACAGGCGGTGGAAACTACCAAGCTGGAGTGCAGGAGGGGCAGAGGGAATTTCCAGTGGAGCGGTGAAATGTGTAGAGATCGGAAAGATGTGGTGGTGAAAGGCTTTGGGATGTTTTGTTCATCAAGTTATCGTAGAACAGTGAGTGGGTGTTGATTAGGGAATTTTCATATATGTATGTGAAACTGTATGTGCTTTGCAGGTTAACTAGTGGTCATATGTAATAAATTAACATGGGGGTTCCAGGGAAATAAAATAAACCCAAATAATATCTAGTATGTAGAATTTGATTATTCAAATTTCCCTTTGTTTTCATAAAATGTTGCATATATAGAGAATGAGAAAGAACTTTTTGTGTACGTGTCAAATATGCTTTGATTCTGATGTGATGCAGATAAGAGTACTGTTGTTGAAAAACATAAAAATAAGTTGAATTAGAAAAAAATCAGTTTAAAATTTAAAGCAATTTATTTTTTGATTTCAATTCCTTGACATCAACTTCATACTTGCAAACATAATATGAGTTGAGTTTATTAAAAATTTACCATTACTTTCATTACTAAGATAGTAAAAAGTTGCAGCCCTGCCAATCCCATTTTGTGCTCATTTACTCTTACAAAAAAAAAGTAGTAGAAGGTTAATTTTAAACAACTCAGAATGAGGGACTTAAGGTGATGGGGATTTGCTTCTGAATCCAAATCAGTAACAGCAGTAATAATAATAGCTTTGTTACATTGTTATAAAATCGTCACCAACATCAAACACTTAATATCGAGTTCTAATTTAAAAAGTACGGACACTTTTATGAAGTGTCGTGTTTGTGTCATATATTATGTCGGACACCGACATTTCATGGATGGACTCTAATGGATACAAAAGGGAAGCTACTCTGCCGCTGTGTCAATGAAGATGTGAAATCGGGTGCTATTGTTCCCACATGCTATTGTTATTATTCCAATCCGACATAAAGATCTGGGCCCTTCTCTTCTGGAAGAATGGTGTGGTTCACCAAGGCGCTTTAAACTTTGAACCAAGGGTCGCAGATGTTGAATCATTCTTCCTTAATCTTCTTAAAGAGGCAAGGAGGCAGGAGGAGAAAGTCTTGCCAAGAAGTGGAAAGACACAAAGAAATTAAGATAAATAGAAGAATGAGGCTGGTTGAGCCCTTCGTCTTTCTATATTTTATGACCGTGTCAATAATTTTAAAATAATTTTTATAATTTCGGACATTTAGTCGACACATCACGAATAACAAATCTTTAACACTTAGTTGACAAATCTCAGACACTCGACAACATATATCCCTCACTCTGGTCTTATATAAAAACGTTTGGTAGTCCAGGAAACAACATTATGAATATATATCAAAGTGTTCAACAAGGCTCAAACCAATTTACCAGTTTTTCTCTGCAAATGTTATGCTTAATCGCAAATTCACCACTGTAAGACAAAAGCTCTCATGCTTCGATCTCCATCAAAAAATCTTGTAATGCCAAGCACATCTCGGTTGAATGGGAGCTCCCTGGCTCTTCCATTCGTCCTCCACCCATGCCACCGAATTAACACACATGTCGGCCAAATAATTGACATTAAACACGTGTCATAATACATGAACAAAATACAAGATAGAATAGTAATATCATATATAATATAATATATATTTGTGATATTTAAATAGCTTCACATTATAACTTATGTAACTTTAACTTATAGAAATTATAAAGTAATTAAAGTTGTATAATTGTCTTACTCATAAATTTAATTTTATATTTATATTAGTCATGTCCACACAGTGTTTGTCCTACTTTTTTAGAATTTAATATCTATATCACTATATCTATCATATATGTGTCCAAACTTCTTAGGTTCTCATTTTTATTTATTTATTTTATTTATTTTTATTTTATTTTTTTAATATTCCAATTACCAATTGTCCAACAAGAATTCTTAATTAATGACAAATAAGGATAAGTCTTCCTAAACTCATTTCTGAATAATACCCTTTTTAACTTATGTAACTTTTTTTTAGTTTAGAAAGTATAAATTAATTAAAGTTCTATAACTGTCTTACTCATAAATGAAATTTTATAGTTATGATAGCCATGTCAACACCGTGTTTGTCCTACTTTTCTAGAATTTGATGCGTACCATATTACCATATCCATGTCATATCACATCCCTATCCATGCTTCTTAAATTCTAGTATCATAAAAGAAATTATTCTGAAAATCAAAGATCAGTGTATGAAAAGAGTACCGTTAGGCGTTTTTATTTATCAAATTATTTTTAATCTTTCAATTTTCAATTTTATCATTCTCCTAAATGTAAAATGTTGACACAATCATGCTTTCACCTAAAATATAGGTGTTTCTTTTATTTTTTTTTAAAACATTATAGCATTTTGATTTAAAAAAAAAAAAAAAAAAAAAAAAAAAAAAAAAAAAGGTGCTAAACTCATTTCTGAATAATGTTGACACAATCATGCTTTCACCTAAAATATAGGTGTTTTTTTTTTATTTTAAAAAAACATTATAGCATTTTGATTTAAGAAAAAAAAAAAGTTGCTATACTCATTTCTTATACCCTTTTAAAGATATTAGCCATCTCATAACATGAATGACTTGTCCAATAATAGCAATAATAATAGGTTAGTTTTTAGTAAAAAAGAAGAGAAACAAACTAGCTAAAATTATTGATGCACATATGTTAGAATATTACATGGAATTAGGGAAAGAAAAACAAGCCAAAGGAAAAGCGCAATGAGAGGAGCAAGTTGAATCCTCAGCCTCAGATAACTTTTCGGCGATTCCAACGGTCGAAATTGATTCAGTTCCTACTATAAAATGCCACTACTATCCCAACCTAAAATCCAAGCTCTCGAAGAAGAAATCCCCACTTCTTCTTGGAACTAAATAGCAAAAAAAAAAAGAGCATTCTGGTGGGGGAGAAAAAAAGCAGCAGGAGCTTGAAGAAGTACAAGGAAAACTAGCTATGGCTGACCCGAGGTTCATGTTGTCGTTGTTGTGCCTCGCGTTGGCTGTGGTGGTCCGGGCTGAGGACCCTTACTTGTTCTTCAACTGGAATGTCACTTACGGAACAATCTCCCCTCTGGGTGTCCCTACACCCGCCATCCTAATCAACGGCGAGTACCCGGGCCCTAAGATCAACTGCACCACCAACAACAATGTCGTCGTCAACGTTTTCAACAACCTCGACGAGCCTTTCCTCCTCACATGGCACGGGATCCAGCAGAGGAAGAACTCGTGGGTGGACGGGACACCCGGGACAATGTGCCCCATCCAACCAGGCAAGAACTTCACCTACCGCCTCCAGATGAAGGACCAGATTGGTACCTATCACTACTACCCGTCTATCGGCCTGCAGAAGGCTTCCGGCGGAGTTGGCGCCATCAACATCCACAGCCGTATCTTTGTCAAGGTCCCCTATTTTAGATTTGCCCCCGACCTCAACTTTATGTTGGGAGATTGGTTCAACAAGGGTCACAAGGTGCTCAGGAAGTCCTTGGACGCCGGCAAGCCCATTGGCAAGCCGGATGGGCTCCAGATCAACGGCAAGTCTGGCAAGGTCGGAGACGACAAGCTCGAGCCCTTGTTCACTGTGGAAGCTGGCAATGAGTATAGGTTCAGGTACTGCAATGTGGGTTTAAAGACCTCAGTCAACATTAGGCTCCAAGGCCACCAAATGAAGCTTGTTGAGCTCGAGGGTTCTCACACTGTCAAGAACAAGTACAATTCGGTTGACTTGCACGTGGGTCAGTGTATGACTATGCTCGTAAAAGCCGATCAGGAACCGAAGGACTATTACCTAGTGGTATCGAGCAGGTTTGTCAAACCTGCTCTCACTACTGTGGGTATTATCCGATATGTTAATGGCAAGGGCGCACCCGCCAAGGAGCTCCCACCACCACCTCCAGAAGGTGTTGCCGGCATTGCCTGGTCCATCAACCAGTTCAAGTCCTTCCGGTGGAACTTGACAGCTAGCGCTGCTCGTCCCAACCCTCAGGGCTCCTACCACTATGGCCAAGTTGCCGTTAACCGAACCATCAGGCTGGTGAGCTCGAAGGTTCAGGAGAAGGGTAAGCTCAGGTTCGCCATTAACGGAGTGTCCCACGTCGACCCTGACACCCCATTGAAGCTTGCAGAGTACTACGGAGTCGGGGACAAGATTTACAAGAATGACACCATGCCTAAAGAACCACCTACCGATGCCAAGGCATTGCAGGTGATCCCCAATGTCCTCAACACAACCCTCCACGAGTTTGTGGAGATTGTGTTCGAGAACCGGGAGAAGTCAGTCCAGACATGGCACCTTAACGGGTATGCATTCTTCGGAGTGAACATCGAGCCTGGCAGGTGGAGCCCTGAGAAGAGGAGGAACTACAACCTTATTGATGCAGTGAGCCGGCACACGATCCCGGTGTTCCCAGGGACATATGCATCAGTCTTGTTTGCCTTCGACAACACCGGAATGTGGAACCTGAAGGTAGAAAACGCCGAGAGGAGCTACTTGGGACAGCAGCTGTACTTCACTTGTCTCTCCCCTCTGCGCTCGGTTCGGGATGAAGTGACCATGCCAGAGGATGCGCAGGTGTGTGGCATTGTCAAGGACTTGCCAAAGCCTGCTCCATATGCTGCTTATGCTGCGAGGCCCAAGAAGAAGAAGAGTGAGGCCAGCGAGGCCAAAGAGGCTGATGAGGCTGAGAAAAATGGCGACGACAAGAACGACAAAGAAGACGATAAGGATGATAAGAAAAATTAAACTTCTTAATTAAATTAAGTAATTAATAAGAAGTGAAGAGTTTTAATATTTGTAATACAGAATTAAGGAGTGTGTAACAAACATGTACGGGCTGCTTGCTGATTGATTATACATGTATCAAACCTTTTGGGGAATTTATTAAATTGAGAGCTTTTATGATAAATCATATGATCACATACAGTGTCTTACTCTCTCTCTCGCTCTCTCAATTATTTGCTAGCTTGTTCCATGAGAAATTATAATTTGGTAGTGTATTTATATATAAATATATATATATATATATATATATATATATATATGAATAAAGTCCAACAAATACTCTTTGTTAACATCTAAAACAAATAGAATTTCTCTTCATAATTGTTTATCTCAATCATTGATTGCCGATTTCGCTACTATTATGGTTCCAACTCCCAACCAGAGTGTAAGTGTAAGTATAGAGGGCGCGTCCTTTGCATTTATTTGCTTGTTAAAATTGTTTTATATATATATATTTCGAATGGTTGGTTGTTAAAATTTGTTGACACAATATTCTCGTATGTCAGTTTTTGTTTCTTTTTTGAAAGGCAAACTCATATGTCATAAACCTTTCTCAAAATTTAGAAAACGCTATAGCAGTCTGATTATTTTTTTTCAATTCATAAAAAGGTGCTAAACTCATTTCAGAAAAATATGCCAGAGCTTTAATTAAATTTTTTATTTTTTACTTTTTTTATTTTTTAGCACTTTAAGTAGTTTATTCATGGTGAAGATGTTAGCCATCTCATTGCATATTACATGTGACAAAATAACATAAATGACTTATTATCTAATAATTATAGAATGTTGCTATTTTTTAGGTAAAGAGAAAGAAACTAACTAGCTAAAAGTAGTCATTTACACATGGAATTAGGAAAAATAAAAACAAACCAAAGGAAAAGCGCAATGAGAGGGAGAAGTTGAAGTATTAGGCTCAGATAATTTTTCGGTTATTCCAACGGATGAAATTGATTCAGTTCTCTGTTATAAAAAGGCTCTCGGATCCCCAACTTACACCCCAAGCTCTGGAAGAAGATCTCCCCATCTTCTTCCCCAAACAAAATAGTAATAAATAAAAGAAGAGCGTGTTTGGGGAGAGAGAATAACAGGAGGAGCTTGGAGACGTACAAGAAAATTTAGCAATGGCTGGCCGGGGGTTCGAGCTGGCCGCGTTGTTGTGCCTGGCGTTGGTGGTGGCTGTCCGGGCTGAGGATCCTTACCTGTTCTACACCTGGAATGTGACTTATGGCACCATCTCCCCTCTGGGTGTACCTACACAGGCCATCCTCATCAACGGCGAATTCCCGGGCCCTAAGATCAACTGCACAACCAACAACAACATTTTCGTCAACGTTTTCAACAACCTTGACGAGCCTTTCCTCCTGACATGGCATGGGATTCAACAGAGGGGAAATTCGTGGTTGGACGGGACACCGGGGACAATGTGCCCCATCCAACCAGGCCAGAACTTCACCTACCGGATGCAGTTCAAGGACCAGATTGGCAGCTACTACTACTACCCGTCCCTCGGATTACAGAAGGCCGCCGGTGGAATTGGCGCCATCAACATCCACAGCCGCATCTTTGTCAAAGTCACCTATAATGACAGATTCGCCCCCGACCTCAACTTTTTGTTGGGGGATTGGTTCAACAAGGGTCACAAGGCACTCAGGAAGTCGTTGGACGCCGGCCGGTCCATGGGCAAGCCGGATGGGCTCCAGATCAATGGCAAGTCCGGCAAGGTCGGAGACGACAAGCTCGAGCCATTGTACACGGTGGAGGCTGGCAAGAGCTATAGGTTCCGGTACTGCAATGTGGGTTTGAAGACTTCTGTCAACATCAGGCTCCAAGGCCATCAAATGAAGCTTGTTGAGCTGGAGGGCTCTCACACTGTCAAGAATAAGTACAATTCTGTTGACTTGCACGTTGGTCAGTGTATGACGATGCTCGTCATTGCTGACCAGGAACCAAAGGACTATTACCTAGTGGTGTCGAGCAGGTTTGTCAAACCTGTTCTCACCACTGTAGGTATTATCCGTTATGTTAATGGCAAGGGCGCGCCAGCCAAGGAGCTCCCGCCGCCTCCTCCGGAAGGCATCGCCGGCTTTGCCTGGTCCATCAACCAGTTCAAGTCCTTCCGCTGGAACCTGACGGCTAGCGCTGCTCGTCCCAACCCTCAGGGCTCGTACCACTATGGCCAAGTCCCCGTTAACCGAACCATCAGGCTGGTGAGCTCGAAGAGTCAGGAGAAAGGTAAGCTCAGGTACGCCATCAACGGAGTGTCACACGTCGACCCTGACACCCCATTGAAGCTTGCAGAGTACTATGGAGTCGGGGACAAGATTTACAAGAATGACACCATGCCTAAAGAACCCCCGGCCGATCCCAGGGCGTTTCAGCTCATCCCCAATGTCCTCAACACAACCCTCCATGAATTTGTGGAGATTGTGTTCGAGAACAGGGAGAAGACAATGCAGACATGGCACTTCAACGGGTATGCATTCTTTGGAGTGAACATTGAGCCTGGCAGGTGGAGCCCGGAGAGGAGGAAGTACTACAACCTTATTGATGCAGTGAGCCGGCACACGATCCCGGTGTTCCCGGGGACATGGGCATCCATCTTGTTTGGATTCGAGAACACCGGAATGTGGAACCTGAAGGTGGAAAACGCAGAGAGGAGCTACTTGGGACAGCAGTTGTACTTCAGTTGTCTCTCCCCTGAGCGCTCGATTAGGGATGAAAATAGCTTGCCAGACGATGTGCAGTTGTGTGGCATTGTCAAGGACTTGCCAAAGCCTCCTCCATATGCTCCTTATAATGCAAGGCCAAAGAAGAAGAAGAGTGAGGCCAGTGAGGCCAAAGATGCTGATGAGGCAGAGAAAAATGGCACTGATAAAGACGATAAGGAGGGTAATTAAGATAAAAGTGGAGGACTACTTCTTAATTAATTTAAGTAATTAATAAGAAGTGAAGAGTTTTAATTTTTAATGTACAGAGTTAAGGAGGATGGAACAAACATGTCCTGGCTGATTTTCGGATTATGCATGTATCAAACATTTGGGGAATTTATTGAATTTATATTTTTATATAATTATTCTTAATATGATCATATATAGTATATACTCTCTCAATTATTTGCTTGCTTGTTTCGTGGTGTTTGTGTGTGTGTGTGTGTGTGTGTATATATATATATAGTTCCTATCATCCTATGTACTTTAGTGTTGCTCCAATATTCATTCTTCTTTGTGACTATAGGCTTAGTACTTTACATTAGGATGCCCTAAAAGAATTATATTTGCCTACTCGTGGGTGAGGAAGAACCTCCAACTTGCTCATGTTGCACAATGATAATTTAAAACGTGTTCATTTTAAATTTAAAATTTCTAAAAACAACTACAAAAAAATAATAAAAAAACAATCTTCCCTCTGATTTTTTACTGAAATAGAAAATGTGAAACAAAATTAGGCAATACAGGTGTAATGAAGCATTCAACTAAAAATTGGGCACAATACCAGAAGTGCAGGTGCTGGTGCATGTTAGGAATTGTATAGGTGTAATTAACAAAATAGAACACTATATAAAAATAAGATGAGTAAGATTAGCCAACAACCATATGATCTTCTTAATCAGTGTCAGGTGGCACCCAGAGTTCCCCCAAACACTTCAGTAGGATAGAGCTACCCTTAATCAAGGATCCTAGTGAAGTGGTCAAGGGAACCCTAGGGGACAACTGACTGACTCCACCTATATATCCCTTCTTAAGCTGCTTGAATTCAGGACACCACCTATTTATAGCGAAGTCTCTCTGTTTTCATTTAGTTGGGAAAGGTGGCCTCTTTGAGTAATGTAGCTAGAGTAAGAGGACACAGTTCTTAAGCAAATGAATTCAGGACTTTGAACCTGGTTGGAATTGTGAGCCAAATGAAGGGTAGGGAATAATATCAAGTTGAGTGGCCATAACTCGGTAATCGTCTAGCCTTTCACATTCAGGACCTATCCTTTTCAAAATTTTAAAATGGCTCCCTTGATGCACGAGGGCGGAGTCTGTGGAGTATTTGATATACGCAACCTTACCTCCCTGTTAGATGAGATTGTTTTCTGTTTCAAACGTGTGACTTCCAGGTTACAGTAAAACAACCTTACAATTGCTCTATGTTGGCCCTCCCTTTTCAAATTTGTCATGAATCTAAAAGCAATTACATTAAAGAATCATGTAGTTATGCAATTTATGTGCCCACATTAGCTTAAGGACATTAAGGTAGCTCAGTCTGCTAAATATATGTAGATCATATAATTAGTCTCTAGAACATGAAAAAATAATAATAATAAATAAATAAATCAGTTTTTGGTCATACTTGAGATGTTCATGAAATAGATTGGGACTTGGTATGCACACAGAAAGTTTTTTGTAGTGCCTGTAGTGGATTAAAATTCTTTTTGCATGTGCAACTGAATCTAATACAAGCATGTGTGGTTAGAGGTAACTAGCTTTGTATCACATAACAAAAGTTGAAAGTTAAAAGCTATATAGGGGGCCAAGTTGGAAAAGGATTGGAGGGTATATTGCCATCCATCACTATATATGATTCTCTCTACCTTCCATCTAACCCATATTCCTGGCTAGATACACTAGCCAAAGCTTTTATCCTCTCACATTTTCTACATATCTCAAACAGATGTGGAAGTCAATATTGTTCACAGCTAAAATGTGAAGGGTACAACTTCTTATAAGTACTAGTGAGTTAGCAGACATTATTACCATACTAAGCAACCAAAAATGTACTGCGACTAGGATTGAGGAAACATCAGGTGTGCCCTAGAGTTCCCTTGACCACTTCATTAACGGCCCTTGTTTCAACAAGAGGTTCAATACTCCTTACTGAAGTGTTTGGGGGAACTCCCGGGTTCATTTGATACTACTAAGTAATGACAAAGATTAGTGTACGTGAGGAATCGCTCTACCCTATAGATATCGTCCGCAAAACATCAGGTGTGCCCTAGAGTTCCCTTGACCACTTCATTGAGGACTCTCGTTTCAACAAGAGGTTCAACACTCCTTACTGAAGTGTTTGGGGGAACTCTGGGGTTCATTTGATACCACTCAGTAATGACAAAGGTCACTGATAGGACTCGCTCTGCACTGTGCTATATATTGTCTGCAAAACATCAGGTGCGCCCTTGACCACTTCATTGAGGACTCTCATTTCAACAAGAGGTTCAACACTCCTTACTGAAGTGTTTGGTGAACTCTCGAGTTCATTTGATACCACTAAGTAATGATAAGATCGGTGTAATGACTCTCACCCTACTTTGCGGTCTTTTTATGTTTACAATTTTCAAAATGCATTTACACATTTAGGAGGTATTCCTTAACCCAACGTTCTCATTGGTCTAACCTCGTGAGCTTGTGCATTCTCCTCCATTTTTGGCTAGGATTAGATCTGATTCCATCAAATTGTCGGGATATATCCACCCCATATTGTGTAGATATTATATGATTTACGATAAATTCTATAATACTCGGGGATTTTGATAAGTGATACCTCTGCTAATCAAACCTTCTCCGCATTTCAAAATGTGTAAACACGTGCATGTAAGAGCTATAAGTGAAATGCCACAGTCGGTGGCGCTCTTATCAATCATCCTGTTCTTAAAACCGTCAATCACTTTTCTTTTTCTTTTTTTCCATTTCTTAAAAGTTTGATGAGTATTGAAGCTCATAACTCACATTGTGGTACTCTCTAGTCTGGAGCAAAGAACTGATTTTTTTTTTTTTACATAAGTTGTTTGTAGTTAGATACTAATTTACATTTTATTTGTCTATTACTTCTCTTCTAATATTTGTAAATTTCTACTCAAAAATTGATTACACGACAACAACAAAAAAAATTGTTATTTGTTGCCATTGTTGGGTAGCTAATCTAACTGAGTTTCAGGGGGTTCACATACATGAAACTCGCTATTAATGAGTCCTTATAGAAGGAAACTTCATTTCATTTTTACTTTTTAATAATCTACAATTCTCTTGTTATATTTTATCTTTACATCCTTCTACAATGTTATTATTAGGTTTGCAATGATTCACTAAAATTGTTAGGAAAACACAATCCGTGCATGAACATTATATAGACTAGTCACTTTATTTATTTATTTTTATGATTTATTATATTTATAATTGGTTCAAACAATATATCTTAAACTTAATTATTAGAAATATATATAGATTTTCTAATATATAGTTCTTATCATAGAGTTAAAATTGACTTTTGGCTATTCAATGGCGGAAGCCTCGTGCACTAGGCAAACTCTTTTTATAGACTTTCTTAACATATAAGTTGGTATTAATTGATCTTGGAATATCTTTATAAAGAAACTAATTAGTATATTGATGACAAGAGAAGAAAGAAATTATGTAGAGCCGAGCTCAAGCTAATTATGCACAACTCAAAAAGGCCAAATTCAACCAGACTAATTGTATGAGTTGAGGATTACAACGAATTAAGTTTCATAATAAGAGAATTTACAAGGGAGAAATTAATTTAAAACAATTTTACGAAAGACATGACATACAATAGGAAGAAGTGAAAAAAAGGAGAATTCACGTGATAAAGATGCGCGCAAGGAATGATGCCTTTGGCTGGATCAAAGGCTTAGTAAATGTCGAAGATAAGTCAATTTCTTTTTACAGCTTGTCACATTTTCTAAACGAATCACAACTTCCTATTGCTTTTGAGTATTGCTATTTCTAACAAACATGCAACAGATAACAGGTGTGAAAAAATCTGATACCTCAAAAAACATCCCTTAAATATGCATATAGTGCATATTACATCCTTTCAGTGCAAAAAATACCCCTCAAGTTTCAATTTGGTGCAATCAAGTCCCTCTGACACGTTTAAAACCAAACTTGACTGAAATACCCTTAGTTAACAATTTTATAAAATATATAAAAATATAAAATTTTGTAAAAATACCAAAAGGACCCTAAATAGTGCACGTCTTGCACAACCATTATGCAATTCCGTGTTAGGGTTTTTTTTAATCAGAATAGAGATGTCCTAGGTGGCGGTGACCTGCTGTGGCGTTGATGGGGGAGACAGTGGCGGAGGACTGTGAACTCAGGGAGGCGGGGGCGGAGGACGAGCCAGATGATGAAGAAGATGACTCCAATTAGGAGGACGGCGACGATGAGATGGTAGAGGAAAGAGTGGCGACCATAGGTATGAAATTGGTGTTGGTAAGCAGAGGGCGGTGGCGCTGCTTCGTGGGGGTATCCGAAGGTGAAGCCTGTTAGTGGCCCTCCCTTCTCTTCTTCCTCACCGCCACCACCCACACCATTCCACAGAACTGTGTGTTGGGCCGACAACCCCCTCTCTGTCTCCCCTCTCACCTCAATGAATCGCCCTGCTTGTGGGTTTGGTTTGGTATGGTTTTGTTCGTCGGAAGTTGCAGAGGTGAAATTTCATTGCTACTTGTTGTTGGCTGAAAATTGCAGAGTTCATTCATCGGAGTTTGCTACTTCGTTGCCGAAATTGAGGTTGTTGCGTTCTACATTTGGCCTTCTTCTTCGGCTTGGTCGACCCTCCTGCCGCCACCATGGAGGAGATCGATCGACGACTTAGAAAGAATCGGTCGAACCGTATCCACAACCTTGCCCCTCCAGCCTTTTTCTTTGGCTTGTTAACAGGGGTAGCCTTTGTTTTATCCGCCGTTGATGAAGAGATCGGTCGATTTGAAGATGGTTGACTCGTCCGAGTTGAACTCGGGATGAATCGAATGCAAAGTGGCGACTTGAGATGAGAGAGCCGTGGCCGCATAACTGGTCACTGATCTCTGCACATTCCGACACCTACTACACCTTCGTTATCATCGTCGCCAACAAGCACCGGAAACAACGCCTTCCCTTAGCATACAATTTGTTTATAAATATTAATATATAATTAAAGGCTAAATTGTAAAATGACACGGCTTAATGCGTATTTTTGGAAGATTAAAAAGGCTAAATGGGTATTATAGCAATAATTTATATCAGATTTTTGACAGAGGGGTAATTTTGCACAATTTTAAAAGATTATGGATATTTATTGCACTTTTTCAAAATAAGGAGTAAATTTGCTTCACAAAATATACTTGAGGG